ACCCGCCCGACAGCTGTAGAAATTATTTCAGTGACAGCTCATTACATTGTTTGCAAGCGTACAAAAGCATTTTTGTGAGACTTTTCCAGAAAAAAAGTTATTTGATGAAAATCATGCGTGATAGTGTGATTTCTTTATATTTGACTTGAAAACCACAAGTGGCTATAGTGAGAGCACTCCAGCAATTAAATGTGAATAAATCTTTTGTGTCTCGTACCATCGCTCGTTACCGTGATACTGGTAGCGTAGCCCGACATGAAGGAAGTGGACGGAAGAAAACAGTAAAATTAGCAGAAAAGGTTCGCAAAGTAAAGACGCGACTTGATCGAAACCCGCGTCGCAGTGGCCTAAAAATGGCTCGTGAGCTGAACATATCGCAATATTACTTTCCGCAAAAATTGTAAAATGAGCTCGGGGTAAAGCCATTGAAATTCCAAAAGGTGCAACAACTTACCCCGCAACAAAAAAAAATACACTCAAGCTTCGCTTGGCCGTGGTGAACTGCCCAATTTGGTTTTCTCCGATGAGAAAACATTCGTTGTACAGCCGTTTGTAAACAAACAAAATGATCGTGTTTACTTGCCAAACAGGACAGCTGGAAATTTGCACCTTCGGACAAATCTAACTTTATTCAAAAATTTGATGCTTTTTCCGACATTTTTTGCTTTCATCCAATAAAATTAAAAAAAAAGTAAAACTTATGGCGTTTGACATTGTTGCAGTTTTTTTATTTCACCCTGTATATATCATATCCATGACACTCTCCTCTTTACAAACAGGTAGAATCGAACACTTTCCTATAAATAAGGAATATAATTTAAAAACAAAATCCTAATCTACTCACTGAAGACTTAAATACGCTTTTCTGTCAACATAGAGGAAATTATGAACATATATCTTATAACTAACTTTAACTTTAAGTCAAAAGTTCGAAAATATATAAACTATAAAAATGTTCGTCGGATAAAAGTATTTGAAACCATGTTCAAAGATCACTGAAAAAAATAGTGAGGAAAAGTCAAAAGTCGGGCGGGGAGTAGAGCTAAGGCAGTTATAATTTGGTTGCAGGTGGAACTAATATATATGAGGCATATCCAACTCTGAATTGATTTTAACCAAATGTGACAGAGACATTTGCTATATAAAAATATATATCGGAGCGGAGTTCCACCAAATACTAACGTACTTCAGAAATTTGTTCCAATTGGACTGATATTAGCCATTGTTTGCCCAATAAGACCGAAATCGGATTAAGGATATATATATAGGAGCTATATTCAAATCTAAGCCGAACTCGATAAAATTTGACAAAGGTATTTTCGAGCTCCATAAGTTATCTGATACCAAATATCATTCTTGTGGTGTACATATTACGCATGTGAGGAACTTAAAATCCCAAATCGGATGAAACATATATATGGGAGCTATAGCTATATCTGAACCGATTTTCACCAAATTGCATGTAATCGCTTGTAGACTGAATTCGGTCGAATGTGCCAAAATGCAGGTCGTTTGAACTAATATTCGCCATTTTGTGCACAATTAAGATGAAATCGGTTGAAAGTACATATGGGAGCTATTTCCAAATCTGAACCGATCTTGATAAAATTTTGCAGTGGTATTTCTGAGTTGTAACTGATATCTGGTACCAAAGATCGTTGTTGTGGAATGCATATTACGCATGTGAGGGACTTAAAACCACAAATCGGATGAAACATATATATGAAAGCTTTAACTATATCTCAACCAAATTGTATGTACTTTCCTCTAGTTAGAATAGGGTCGGATGTACTAAAATTCAGATCATTTGGACTAATATTGGTCATTTGGTGCCCAATTAACCCTAAATAGGTTGTAGATATATATGGGAGCTATATCTAAATTTGAACCAATTCTCACCAATTTTAATAGGGTTCGTCCTTGGGCCAAAAAAAATATTGTTCCATCTCAATTGGATAATAAATGCGACCTGAATTTTGATCACAAAAATTCATAGACAGGCGGACGCACAGACTGGCTGACATGCATAAATCGACTCAGATAGTTATTCTATGAAGATCGTCAAAAGTAACTATGGGTCTATCTCGCTTTCTTCTCTATGTTACAAACAAATGCGGTAGTTGATCCCTCCCGACTTTTGAACTTTATTTACTGGTTTTATTACAAGAATTTTTTTCTAACTTCCAGTTTTCAACTTTCAAATAATTTTTAAGATTATATTTTTTAAAAACTTTTCAAAATTTCCTTTTAATTCGCTGTAAAGAAGTCGTCAGCTAATAGCACCCTATTATTACAGAATCCGTTTAAAAAGCATTGTATATATTTTGGATTGTTTTGGTTGGCCTTTGTAAGCAAGTTGTGGTAAAATTTGAAGTAAAAAATATAATATGTCACTACTAAACCCTTTTTATATAAAGAGAGGATGTGTAGTGACTCACTGGAATTCGTGTTTTTCGAATTAAACAAATGCTCTCTTTTAGTCCTTCAATAGAATACAATTTTACAATAAAGTGTCGCGAGCAAGAAACGAAAATTTTTTCTCACTTTGATGGGAACGAATATTCTATTTCATACGATAAAAATCACAATTGAATGCCCTTAAACCTAAGTATTTGGTTAAAAACGTAAAATCGCAAAATTTATATTCAAATCTTCTAGTTTTTATACCCTACAACACTATGTGTCCTAGCTCGCCGAGATGAGTCGATCTAACTATGTATGTCCGTCCGTCTGTCCATGTTAATTAGTAATCACTCTACAGGTCGCAAATATGGTCCGATCCTTACGAAATTTTGCACGAAGGTGGGGTTAGGGTCAGAATAGAAGCCTATTTCTTTTGGAGATGATCGCCAAATGTTTAGGGGTTGAAATGAACCAAATACTGAAAAAATTTCGGATTTTGCAGTAGCTATACAGGTCGCAATTATAGACCAATCGACGCGGAATTTCGCATGTAGCTAGAGTTTAGGGCTGGCAAGAAGCCTACCCATTTGGGTGGTAATCGGATAATATTTAGCGGAAAAAAATAGACCATATCTTTTTTGTTGAAAAAATTCAAAATTTTTCATTAAACCGCGAATATTTTAAATCCCGGCTAAATCACAAAGCCATGACAAGGTTACTTCTGATCTTTACATTGATGTTAACATCCAACAAAACGGATATATAGCAAAATATGTGCGATATATATGTCTATCAAAGAAGATATGCTTGAAATATCTCTTATATGTCGAGAACGGCTGAACTGATTTCGACAGTTCTCATTAATTCAGAATGGCCTCTTGGCAGGAAAGAAAAAACGTCTAAAAAAATCGCATAAAAATATCTCTCTAAAGATGAAAATATTGATTTTGTAAAATTTTCTCATATTTTTTCAATTTTTGTCATATTTTTGGCATATTTTCATTTTGAATTAAACATTTGGTAATATTTCTACAGCTAACAAAACTAAGTAGTTAGGATATCAGGATATCATAACAGATCGCATTTATGGCCCGATCCTAACGAAAGTTTGCATGGGGATCAGATGAGGGTCAGAATAGAAGCCTTCTCTTTTTGGAGATGATCGCCATATATTTAGGGGTTGAAATGGACCAAAAAACTGCAAAATTGTAAGCAGGTCGTAATTATTGCCCGATCATCACGCACATTTGAATGGGGGTTACCGCACATTGCAAAAGCCAAGCAGTTTCGGATGGCCATCCAAAAATATTCAATGTGAGAAATAGTTTGCCAAATTTTGTAGACTAAATACGGAAATGTCCATTCCAGCGACATCTACCAATAAATTGGAAATGAGCAAATTCGTTTGAGCTGCTATTATCCGAAAATTAGAGAACGAAACATGATGGTTTTCTTTTATTATTTGTCACAATATCTTGTGGAGTTCTTTCGAGTATCTCGCCTGTATAACTGTATGGTTTATTATAGTGTTGTAGGGTATTCAACGGTCGGCCCCGCTCGACTGTAGCCTTTGCTCACTTGTTATTTATGATTTTATTTTCTAGAGTATTAATTCCCAAAATCTCATTTTTGTTAAACCATACCAAAGCCTTTTTTCAGGAAATATATTTCTCAAACATTTAGTATTTTCGACTTTCTTACTTGAAACGACTTGTACTAAATTTAGAATAATTTGCCTGCTAACGCTAATGGATTATGCAAACCCTTTTTGTATAAAAATTTTTATTACATAGATCTCTAGGAGATTTTTTTTCTTTTTTATCAAAATTTATATTTCTCATAAAAAATATTTTTGGCTTAATTTCTCTTAGTTTAAGAAAAAAAAGAAAAAATATTTAATTTTACATTTTCATAGAGCAAGGATATACCACTGAATCTGGATCTATGAAAAAATATGATTGAGTGTACTTTTCAATAAAAAATATTTAATTTTACATTTTCATAGAGCAAGGATATACCACTGAATCTGGATCTATGAAAAAATATGATTGAGTGTACTTTTCAATAAAATTTTTTTAGTAATTATTTCCCTCTACCTAAGAAAAATTTAGAACCAAATATTTTTTCATGAGAAGTATATACTATATAGATGCAATATTTATTTTGTTCAGCAATTGATTTGGGGTTGCAGATCTCCACTCTCAATGATTTTCTGTTCCAGAACATGCAATAGTCTACTAGTTTCACAACATTTTTCAATATCATCAATTGGTCAGCGTAGTAAAAAGGCTTACATTCTTGCAGTTCTAGAACAGGGCTGTTATAATTCAGAAAGTATTACAACTCAAATTTCCCCCAAAACAGTAGAATATTTTTTTATATATTTTTCATTGAAAACTTAATTTTCCCCCAAATTTAAGCGCTTGAATTCTCAGCCCATGTAAGTTCTGATAATTCATTTCAAAAACTTCTAATGAACAGAGACTTGTGTGTGTGTGTCAGCGTTTCAAATGTCTGTGGCCATGGCCATGGGTAAGTATGTTTGTATGTGTGCGTGTTCGAAATATTATGGGTTAATTGAGTTTTAATATACTTACCGACCGAAGTTTTGCTGAACTTGCTAAAGGTTAAAACCTTACTAAAATATTCCCTATGTCATGTCGGTGCGGTTATGGGCCATTAACCAATTTTGGTTTTATGTGTTACGCTTAATTAATTTCATGGGATTTACTATTTGCTGTATTATTTTTAATTTTTTTGATATTTAATTTTAACACACACACAACAAAATTTGCACAGAATTTTGAATCACTTTTTTTGGGAACTATTATTTTTTATTTATTATTATTTTTTTATTTTAAGAGAAATATCTTCAAATTTAATTGATTGGGGGTTTTTCGGTGATATTTTTGTTGATATGTTTTTTGGTTAAAATTGAATTTATTTTAATTGATTTATTGATACGTGTTTCATTATTGATTGATATGATAAATTTGCGAAATTTTCTTAATTTAACACAACAGTTATTTAATTATTTTTCCATGGTTCAGGGTCTGAATTGGATTTTGTGAGAATATTTTTATACCAGCCAGCCGGCATGATAATTTAAAATTCTCTGTCTCTCTGTTTTATTTATCCCCTGACAATTTTGCGTTTTTTTGTTCAAAGGTTATGTTGACATGGAAAGGACATTTGAGGGGACCATACGGAAAAACGCTAAAACAACGCTGCCCCTTTCAATGGGGTCGGACATTTGCAAGGTCCTTTGTTTTGTTTTATTTTATGTATTTTTTTTTCAAAATATCCTTAAGTAATCCTTGACGTGGTTAACATCCAAATCTGTAACCCGCTTTTGTTTCGTTTCTCGCAAAGGAAAACCACCGCCGACAAACTACAATCCACATTTTTCTTATTTTAACGAAAACAAATGCTTTTGCAACACGTCCGTCAAACACGAAACTTCTGTTTTTCACCAGCGAAACAGACACGAACAACGCATTGGAATTTTGTTTTTATGCACGGATTCAGGCAATAATGACCGACAACGAAACTAACATTTTAATAGAAATGGACAACAACGAATACCAGAAGCTGAGAACATGCTTAAAACACGATTATAGTTAAGGTAGGCAGATATGTATGTCTGTCTGTCTGAAAGGATACACGTTTGCTTAACGAGGATACACGAAAGACAACACACGGACAAGGAAATTTCCTTCCAATTTGAATTTTTAATTAATTTTTCAATTTGTTTTTCTATTTTTTCTCTTTTGACACTTTCACAAGATTACTTGGTTTTTAAACAAATTTTTTTCTTTACTATTTCATTTATTTTTCTTTAAGAAATCTCAATTTTTGTTTCCTTTCATTGATTTAATTAACAAACATTCCATTGGAGAAGCACGGTAAACAACATGGCAACACTGGTGCGCACGCCAACACAACAAACCGTCATTACTTTTATATACATAACACTCCGACGGATGAGCTAAAACTGAATTTTTGGGTAAAAGTTTTGTTGTCGCAAAGGACATCGGGTTGGTTGCTTTTTTTGTTTTTGTTACTGCTTTCCCCGTAAGTCTACGTATACGCAATGCCAGAGTGAGTGCACACGAAAGAGTAGCAAATTCAACATACTCCCCCACACACACACAGGCACACGCACTCACGAACACAAAGAGAGAGAAGAGAAAGCACGCATTGAAAACTCAACACAACCGCGTGCTTTACTGCTGATGGTGGCTAGGGTTTGTGCTCATTAATGAAAACGGTAAACGGAAATGTGGTACTCTCTCACTCTCAACACACACAGGCGTAAAAGTCTCCACTTGTCCAAAGCATACTTTCAGGCGCTCACCATGAATAGCTGAATTGCAAGCAAACAACTCAAGTCACATGAACTTTTCTTCTCTACACACATTGAGAAAATAGTGCAAAGAGAGTGAGAGTAAATTTGAAAGCTTTCTCTCCTCTCTCTCTCTCTCTCTCATTGTGATGTTATTATTTTCCATAGATTTTGTGTTTTTCCCACAAGTACGTTAGATAAAACACCAAAAAACCCTCATCATAACAAAGTTATTAAACGTTAACTTAATAGCCTCAAAACAAAACCAGGTTTTTTGTGAAATATTTCCAAAAACGCTTTTTCTAAGGGGCAAGTATTTTTACTTTGCCCAAATGATGTTGCCAATAATTGCTGCATGCTTAACAAAAATGGGAATAAAAACATTTACATGCTTCAAATTCTCTTCCCCCTTGAGGTGTTTGGCATGTTTTTCCTTTCATTCCTTTGGCCTTTGATTTCCCAATGCTCCTCGATATTCATAAGCATGCAGCGGCCATGCGGCCATTAAACAATTTGTTGCATGAACATATTAAGCGATAATTTCAACACGTTTTGTAAATTCCTTCAGTTTCGTATGGAAAATTTCCACCAAAAAAGGACGAATGTGTAATATAGAACAACAATGCCATTACATCGTTTAATTTGTTGACTTAGTTTCTTTTCTTTTTTGATGGGGGTAATTAATGATGACCTAAGACATGTAAGGCATTTTAAAGGGATGGAAATTGTAATATGTGTAACACTTTAAAATAGTACAGATGAAAAACGTAATGCCAAGAATTATTATCTAGTATCCTGGGCAGGTACATATAAACAAGGATATCCCATGGCAGAAACTTAAGAAAAATCCAAAATTTCGAAATATTTGTATCATTCTTATTTCAATTTCATATCGATAGACTGAAAAAGGTTTAAACAGGAATTTGTGCTTATCCTATGACACATGTACCCACAAAGCATACGTTACCAAACAGGATTGCTTGTATTTATTACAAATTGACCTCTATAGTTTGAGTTTTACTTCCCAACTTTTAGGATAGAACTTTGTAATTTGATAAAAAGATCTTAGAACTTCATACAAAATAATAGTTGCAGAGACTCATATGGATCCACTTTTTTATAGCTCTACATTAAGATAAATTCGATTTTATTGAGAAATTAAGATAACTTCTGGTATTTTGAGAAATGCTACTTACAAATATTATCAACATGAGTTCACCTTTTGACATATAAGCTTTTGTGAGGGTCTTGGTCACATTTTCCAATCAATTTGACTTCAACCTTCTGTTTCGGCTTGGTATGGTTTGTGGCAAAGTTTTAGAGGAGTTCTTGGTATATGATAAAAAAGCAACGCTCCAAAAGAGTTTTTAATTCCCAGATTTATTATTTAAATATATGTTAATGCTGAGAACCGTTTATATTATATTTATATTAAAAAAATTCTGTACAGGTTTTCAACAAATCATTTGGAAAATGTGAACAAGACCAAGTCAGCTTAGCCGACAGATGTATAGCCTCAGCCAGTGTTGGATTATTACAACATATTTTGACTTGATTATTTAAATTGTTGACCCTCTATGGAGTAGGTTCCGATGGAATGGGCAAATATCTAACCTAAATATATATGTTAAAAATATTGCGACGTGCCAGGTTTGGACTATATTGATTACTTCCTTCAAATATACGATATGTGATCATTTTTAGAAAATGTTAAAAAAGAAAAATGGGTACTCCATATTCATACTTCATCTAAGACAGATAAAAATATTGATATGGACAAAGTTACAAGAAAATCGAATATTTATGTCCATTTTTATGCGAAATCATAATTTCCATATTCATCTCAGGTTTCTGGATGAGAGAAATAAAGAATCGCTGACTGTACTGAAAATTGTGACCTTTGTATGTGAGGTACCAAAAGGGTTCGCAGATATATATCATCTTCACAACAGATCTTGTGTTAGCAAAAATGTTTGAGTGTCTGAAATTTGAAGGGAGTTGGATGCTTATTTCTCTTTCTTTGAACGTTATGTTTTTCAAAATCTTCAACCCTGAGATCTACCAGAAGAAATGGTCCGAACTTAATCATCTTTATAATGAGGGAAATATTGAGGTGCACCAAGTCTGAATGGAATCGGATTTTAATTTCGCGCTTTATGAGCTTCATGGGTACTCAAAGTTTTGTTCCTTTGTTGGAGAGGCACGATAAGGAGTGAACCGATATATTCCATCCTAACACCAGATATTGAGTTTACAAAAATATTGGGATGTGAGAAAATTTAAGACAATCGGATTCTTACATCATATTTTATAAAAATTATAATTATTCAAAATTTTGACTCTTTGTGATGGAAGTACTTGATGGAGTGGACCAATATTATCCATTTTTGCACCTAACCGAGAACTGAGACAAATATTAGGATTTGCAAAGTTGAAGCAAAATCGGATTATTGTTTCTCTTTCTGGATCGGATTATTGCAAAGTTGGAGCAAAATCGGATTATCCTTTCCCTTTCTGCGCAGAAAATATATTTTTTGAAAATTTCGACTTTTTGTGGGAGAGGTACCTGAAAGGGCGGACTGAGATATTCCATCTTAACACCAGACCTTGGGTTGTTAAAAATATTTGGATTTGAGAAATTTTAAGACAATCACACACAATCGGATTCCTACATCATATTTTATAAGAGTTATAATTATTAAAAATTTTGACTCTTTGTGGGGAGATACTTGACGGAGTGGACCGATATTGTCCATTTTTGCACCAGACCTATAACTGACGCAAATATTAGGATTTGCAAAGTTGGAGCAAAATCGGATTACTCTTATCTTACCTTGCAATAAATTATTTTCTCTGAAAATGTTGACATTTTGTGTGGGAGGTACCAGAAGGAGTGCACCGATAGTGCCCATCTCCGAACTCGATCTAAGTTTGACAACAATATTACGATGTATCAAGTTTGGATCAAATCGCATACTCCCTTCGAGAGTTATAGTGCGTATCAGCCAGCCAGACAGACGGACATCGTTAGAATTTTCCTGAAACGGATTTGGTCCAAAGAGACGTGGGTTCTCAAACCGTTATTACAATGAGTCACATTTTGGCTGTATCGATTTTTGGCCCTATGTATCCATATGGCTAAGGTTATAAAAATTTCTATTCATAGTCAGTATCCTTAAAACGCGTGCTTTAAATTTAGTTGGGAAGCTCTTGAAAATATTTTCCAGCACACCATGACTTTTGTAGGCAGAAATTTCATAAAAAATTTTTTCAAGAGAATCTACGACTTTCGACTTAGAGATGCTTGTAACAAGTATTTTTCAAAATGCACCTGTTTTTGTTTAGGATGTCCTTTGAAAAAATAATTAAGCAGATGGCCATCAATTTGAAATAATTATTAAAAACATTCACGATTTATAAATGTAACAAATATTTTAATAGGTAAGTAATTCCTAGTTAAAAAGTTATTGAAAGAAAATACTTTTAAAAATCCACGATTTATATCCATCCGCGAAGTCCTCATAAAATATGTCTAAGCAACATACGATTAATATAGCCGACAAGTCCTTATAAATATTTTTTAAATTCCCAACTTTGGATCATAATTGTTGTGGTTATAAAAAAAAACAATTTATTCGAAAGTGTAACTGCTTACCATTTACAGATTTCAGTTTATATGTATATAACATTTTAATTTAACACACAAAAAGCTTTGGCGAAAGTTAAAGGTTACGCAGTGAGCTTCAAAACAGCAAAGCTTAATGTTAAGTTTAACCAAACTGTTACATTGAAAATACGGGGAAATGTAAAGCTTCATGTGTATAACACTTTTAAACTAATATATAAATTTAACAAAAATTCGTCGAAAAACAATAAACAAATGTGGTGGGTGTATGTCAGAAGTGAGGAAATTTAAATTTTCTTGTTATTTTTATATTTTTAATAATCTGTTTGTTTTTTATCTTTTTGAATAATTAATATTATCTAATATTATTAACAAATAAAATCATTGAAATAAATAAGAAAAAACACTTTATTGTCGACATTCTGATGTTTTACCATGGTAGAAGAATACAAGTAGTCGCATCGACACAGCTGCTGGGACAATGAACTGTCAAATCGATTAGGGAATTGAAAATATTGAATGGAAAATTATTGAAATTTGTCAAAATTATTTAAAAATGCATTTTATAGCAGCATCCGATTTGCGTCGTATGAGAAACCGTACAAAAATCTACTCATGTTTTAAAATAATATTTAAAAATGTTGACATATCAATGTTCCCAAACGTTGATGCATCTACCTATATTCTTCTACCATGTGTTTTACACAAACTTACAGTACGTTTACATATAAAGTGGTTAATTAAATATATGGGTTGGACTAAAATTGTCATATCCAATACTAATATTTCAAATAAAAACGAGCAAAGAAAGTCCTAAAGACGGGCGGGCCGACTTTATAATACCCTACACCACTTTGTTAATTTAGTAGAGATCCACATAACAATTAATTTTTTTATGGGAGAATTTAATCGTACACGCTATGATTATAATTATAATTTAAAGTTCAAAGGACTAAATATGCCGAAGCATTTGTATCTTTTAAATTCGGATAAAGATATATATGG